CTACCGCCAATCACCAAATCATTGAAGGCGCAGAAGTCTGAGAAGAGTTCAACATTGTCGTTCATTTCACCGAGGGCCTCACGACCCATGGTGAGTTCTCTTCCTGTGTTGTCTCGTCCCAGCTTCACATTCATGTCGCCCATCAGGATTTTGATATCGCCATTTGGGACGGTGTCCATTATTGCTTGTAGTTGTCTGTAGAACGCCTCCTTCTTCTCTTGTTCTGAGACGTTTGTAGGCGCATAATATTGAATGACTGTAACTTTCCTTCCTTTTGAGTTGAACCTGGCTGTCATTATTCTGGAGGAGATTGGTTCCCACTGCATGAGAGCTTTGGCTGCTGTTGGTGACATCATGATGGCCACTCCCTCGGTGTGCTCATGGTTGTCCTCTAGGTGGCCGGAATAGATTACTGTCTCTCCAGTAGGTAGTTGGCACCTTCCCGTTCCGCTCCATCTGCTTTTGCAGATTCTCAACACTTCTATTCTGTACCTTCTCATTTCAGCGGCTACCTGGGCAGCCTTTCCACTTTCGTACATTGTGCGAACATTCCAGGTACCCATCCTTACTTTTGCTTTCATCGAAAGAAGGCACATCGGTTGACTGGCTTCCCGAAGACTTTCACCAGCCTGCGTCATTTCACTTCCCCGATTCCAGCGAAAAGGAAGGCTATTGCATATGATTTTAGAACTTTTAATATATTTATTCGTTGAAGTTTCTGTAGCGATTTGGTTGTTTTACAGGGGTAGAGTTGCTAGCACCACGCCCCAACCCTCCCTCTTTACCCGGGCTTGGGACCGGCGAGAAAACTAGTAAGCTAGTAGCCTAGCAAGCTAGTATCTGGCGAGGTTGGTTGACCCTGAAAAGATAAGTAATTTCGAAAAAAGCTCAGCAATTGCAATGAATGCATTAACACACAACAACACAATAGGGTGTGATAGGGTTAAAATTCTAAAAAGTAATCTAGAGATGTTGATTACTGAATCCTTGTTCATCGAGTCTACATCAAACACATGCAACAGGAATGATTCATCACTCATACCCGAAATATGGAAAATATTACTACCAATTAAATCAAGTGAAAATCAAGTGGAAAATAATGGTACTTTATAAATGGAGCTATGAAGTTGTGTGAGCACCTTGATATAATTATGAGCAATAAATTGTGCTCGAAACGTGGTCATCAGTAAACATCACTGTATAACACTGTGAGACTTTATCAAAAAAATCTACCCATAATGGAATTACAAACAACCACAGTGCAGAAGTTTTATTCTTATATCAGTCCTGGAGACGGCTACATATCCCTAATAATCATAACTTGCTGGCTAGCAGACTATGTGGAACTCTCCCGAAGGGTTTCCTTATATCAAAATAAAGGGTAATTACTAGTTCTCTCCTATCTCTTCCATGAGTGACTTCGTTGAAAATGTCTGTGTGGCAATTGGAGCATGATCTTTTTTTGAGGAATCCGTGTTGTGACTATTTGATGAGTCTATGTTTTAGCAGTCTGTCTGATATTACGGTTACTTTTGTTTAATTCCACTTTGCAGTTTTTCAGAACGTCCTTTTAAACTGAGATTGCTTGTGATTACGCGTAGATACAGTACTTATCTACATATTGATCGTCCTTCGGTTGACTTTATTCGCCTGCTGAAGACGAAAGGAGGTTCGGGTTTTTGCTCAGCAGCTATAATGACCTTGGTGCCAGCACTACGGTTCAACAGTTATTCGACCTTTTTCCGACCGTTTATGTTACAATTTAAACATCCCAGCTGGTGAAAGCGTGCTAATCTATCGATATTTCAGGATTGCGATTTATATCATGTTTGATCATGCCTGTATGAATGTATTTCATGTAAATCTACTCGTTTATATGAAAATATTCTATAATTAGTTGCTTCGCACTTTGTACCTCTTTTACGCCACAACAGCAAGTGTCTGAAAACGAATATTACTGTCAAGAGTACGTCCATTTAAAACCAATTAACAGAGCTTTCTGGTTTACTATCTCTTCAGTCTACGCTAAGCCAACAATATCCTACGATCCTATTTCATTGTTTCACCTCCAGGCTTTATCGAGATTAAGGTTCATGCAAACTACTGGTAGGTATACCGAGACGGACTGCACTAATTATGAACTCGTTGATACCCATTCCTAAACGCCGAGGTCGCAACTTTATACAAATTCACCTGCAGTTGAAATGACACATTTCTAGGTAGAAAGAATAGAATGCTTCAATATCGACGGAAAGAATATGTTTCTAAATGGTCTTTAAGCCATCGAAAATCTAAATGTGTTTAATCTAAATAGAAATCCACCATCATCCATTGGAGAACATTTATTAATGTTTTATCACAAAATACGTCTTAATAACTGTTTCTGAATTATTTCGCATAACTGTCATTCAAAGTTATTAAAAGTGGTGGAAGCACTTAGTTTTGGATATATATATATATATATATATATCCAAAAATAGACTAAGAACTTGTTTTTCGGGAGAAGATATAATATGCTTGGATATTATTCAATCACTACCAATCACAATAATTTATCTCCTGTTTGTTCAAGAGCTTCTTAAACCACTAAAGTGTTTTGATGAGTTTAATAAAATGAGATGTGAAATAGCTCTGTTCTAAGTGTCAGCAATGTTTCTTTATATTTTCCGTTAAATATTTAAAGGCTAGGTGAATGTTGGCCAAATTGGACTTCGTCTTCGTCTTTGCATCCATCAAAATAAACTAGTCGTCAAAAGACATGACATCCACTCCCTCATATTGTTGCCCTGGACATCAGTTAGACTGGGACAAAGTTAAGATAATAGACAGAAGAAACAGCAAGAACGCCAGAGAATTTTAAGAAGCCTGATATTCAAGCGAATCGGTAATTAACAGGCACGTTGACACATACGAAATTCATTAATCCATAACAGGAAAATTTTATGCACAAAATGTCAGACTTCAGGTCAAGAAAATAATCAGTACCAATACAAGTAGCCGCCTATAGAGTGTGAAAACACACAAAATCAACTCGTCACGCTCAAGGTCATCAGAAGGGAAGACTAATAAACTTATGGAGGGATGTAAAAGTTCACTCCAGATTGCTCAATAAGGCAATGAAAGCTTCGCAAATAAACCATCCGGCTCAGAGAACACACACAACTACATCAAAACCACTGACCTGAGCTGCAAATCTTCTCCATCACATCTAGATCAATTGTGCAAGTTCAAGAAAAATGAAGATTTTAAGATTCTGAATAAAGTATAACAGATTTTGAAAAAATCCACTGTTGTCACTGTTTCAAGACAACATGCACCTTTATGCTTGACCTCTCTTGACATGTTAGCTCCTAGTACAATTGCTTCAGAAGACAATGAGTATTTGATTCAATAGGAAATGTAAATTAACTTAAACAAATAACAGATCATGTGCATTACGAAAAAACTAAGGCTTACGGCCTGGTGGATAACGCTATGTTGTTTGTAAAGATGGATGACGGTTTCGAGTTTCATTGGGAGCACTGTTATTCAAAGGGGGTGTGCGTATACCTGGCTGATGATGCTAAGATGGGACTAAAGGAGCATCCTGAATTCCCCTGACAGACAATATCAACGACATGAGATCAAATAAAACACAGTTTATTTGATAAAGATGTCTTATTATCCTAAACTAATATATGTTCAGCGATTCTCTAACTGTTGTAGTTCGTGATAAGATCTAGTTCGAAATTAATCAGAACTTCTACAAAACCCTGAGGCTAAATATCAGACTCAAGCTCATGGGTGACTAAAGGGTGGATGTTTAAGCCAAGTAGGAAGGTGTAGACTGGCTTCCTGGTTGGGGTCCTCGGTACGGTGAAAACCAGTGGTTGGAAACTATTGGTGATATGGCTCAAAATCGTTTTCAGTGATGGCGCAGATGCATCCACTCCTTGTGACTTATGATTTCCATTGAATCTACATTGTTCTTCGTTACTTCTATTTCTTTGTCTCACACCTCTGTTTACTGTCTCTAGTATGCATTTCTTCTACTTTCTTCTGTTGCTTTGTGTGCTACGTGGAGTGTGGTGACTTGAACTGCCGCACACAGGTGCAAACTTCTATGTCGAAAACAGACAGACAGACAGGTACGGTGTAGTAATTATTTGTAATCGTAGTATTAGTATTTCGAGATGACCGAATTACAAGAATCCAACCAAAAAACACAGAGAGGGCGGAATTCAGGAATTTGTATTTAACGGAATTGTATTGCAATTCATATAAGAAATATATTAACAATCAACAGTAAGTATTTAAACAATACAGAGATAGAAATTGTCAATCACCACATCCGCCACACGTCGAATGTCTCCTTGCGTATTTATAATGATATCGCGGTTTGCTTGCCAGTCTCTGCGATCTTCTAACTGATTCTGTGATATTATTTCCATCAGTATCATCTAGACTTATTTCTGAATTATCTACAAAGTCAGGATTAGTAGCGGAGTCATTATAATCATAATCGGAACGACCTACCTCATTTATTCTCACTTGATCCAAGTGTCTGTTATGAACTGAATTATCTTCGATGTCTAATATCTTCACCATTCGATTTCCCATTCTTTGTAGTATGATACCAATAGAAGGTCTATAATCATTCCCTCTGTAATAATGTACATCAGAAGTCGTGGACATCAGATGCTTTCTGAGAATTCGAGATTTGAATAGTTTTGCAGGACTTTCATGGGTACTTGTATGCTCCGCATTGCGATATTGAAGTAAGAAGTTATCCACACATCTCTCTAGCTCATCAAAATTTTGAGGACTCATTGATGCTATAGCACTCTTTAATGTTCGTACAAAATTTTCTGCCAACCCGTTTGACTGAGGATGACGTGGTGCTGTGTACAAATGACGACAACCTATATGTTTGAGCCAATCATTGAAGTTCTTCTCCGTAAAATGAGTACCATTGTCAGTAACTAAGACATCTGGAATTCCTTCTCGACTAAAAATCTTTCTCAACGCTCTGTGAGTGAATTTGGCATTAGGACTATCTGTAATGATGACTTCTGGCCATCTAGAATAAGAATCCACAATAACTAAAGCATAATATGAATTTAAGAATGGACCACAGTAATCTGCATGAATACGCTGCCAAACCTCACAAGATGCAGGCCACGGTGTCCACGATGACTTCCCATAGGACATTTTATGTAAACAGCTAGAACAGCTCTTTGATCTTTTGTTAATGTCAGCATCAATTTCCGGCCACCAGCATGTTAGGCGTGCTAATGATTTCATCTTATCAGCTCCTAGATGAGCAGAATGTAGATCATCCAAAATCGCAGATCTTAATGTTGGAGGAATAATAATTCTGTCATTCAGACATAGAAATCCTTCAGGATGGACTGAAATCTCATCTCTTCGCTTATAAAAGTCTGGAAATCTTCGCTTACACTGAACATTCCAACCTCTTTTTGTTGCATTTATAACGCATCCGTAATATTTCCGAGTATCATTTATAAGTCGAACTCGATCCACCGGTAACGGCTGGACTAATAAGCAATCAGTATCATTAGCAGCATTTTCAAATAATGAATAACGAGATAAGAAGTCTGCATGAGGTATATCCTTTGCCGATCTATGTTCAATAGTGTAATCATATGCACTTAGTTCTAAACTCCATCTTTGAACCATAGCAGCAGATGATTTATTCAAAGATTTTTCTGGATTGTAAATGAATTTCAAAGCTTGATGATCAGTAACTATGTGAAACTTAGTACCAAAGAGATACTTGTGCAAGCGTCTTATTGCCCATACAACTGCTAGAGCTTCTTTCTGGGTTTGTGAGTACCCTTGTTCACTCTTACTTAGACGTCTTGAAATACAAATAACAGGTTGTCCATTTTGCTCAAGTACTGCAGCTATACCCATAGGAGAAGCATCTGTAGTGAGAACAGACTTATCTTTCGATAAAAAAGGTCTTAGGAAAGCTTGTTTATTAAGAAACTCCAAAGTTTTTCGCAAGATATTCTCATGTTGTTGTTCCCACTTAAACTGTTTACTGGAGACAATCTCAAAAAGTGGAGATAACCGTTGAGTGAAGTTGGGAATGAATCTGGAGTAAAACTGAAGAGTACCTATCCATGATCTCAACGATGACATATTATTAGGTGACGGTGCTTGAATTAGAGGTGCCAAACGACTAGCATCAGGTCTGAAACCTTCGGAGTCTACTGTGTATCCCAAGCATGATACAGACGACAAAGTGAAATGGCATTTAGATGGATTAACAAGAACATTATTCTCACATAAACGCCTGAACAGTTTTAAAAGACGTTCATTATGCAATTCGATATTAGGACCATGAACTATAATGTCGTCTTGGTATGACTCAACACCATCTAATCCATCTATCATCTGATTTATTACATTTTGAAATATTGCAGGTGAAACCTTTAAACCAAAAGGCAAGAACTTATACTTGAACAATCCAAATGGAGTATTAATGGTTGTTAATGCACTAGACGCCTCATCAAGAGGAATTTGCAAATAGGCATCTTTTAGATCTATTTTGGAAAAGTATCTTGAGCCATGTAGCTTGTAGAGAATGTCTTCAGTTTCTAGAGTAGTGCAACTTTGCTGTAGTAGACGACTATTGAGTGTAAGGCGGTAGTCACCACAAATTCTAGGTGTTTTTCCATCAGCCTTTAGTGGCGTAACAATAGGAGTAGCCCAATTTGAAGACTCAACTGGCATAAGTATGCCTTGCTCAACCAACTTGTCTAACTCTTTCTTAACTGCATCTCGCAATCCATATGGAATTAATCGGCGTTTCAGGAAGATAGGATCACCCTCTATTTCAAGATGGATGGGCTGAATCTTCATACCACCTACACTCTTTGAACATTGGAGAAGTAATTCTCTGAACAAAGATTCATCAAACAACTCAGTACAAAGTGAGATTTCGACATTTAACAATCTAAGGGCTTTTAATCCCAATAAAGATGGACCATATTCACTAACAAGAAAGGGAATATTTACAAAATTACCACTGTCTGATTTCAAAGAAATGTTAGTAGCACCGATAAGAGGTAATTTATGACCAGTTATGCCTGTAATTGAACTAGTAGTAGGGTCTATCTGGACATTCTTACAAATCGATTGTAAATCTTTCTTAGAAATTATAGATTCAGTACTCCCAGTATCAATTATAAAACAATGGGACTTGCCTGAACTTGTAGTGAAGGTTTTCATTAGATGAGATTGAGTATTTGGAAAAGTTGAGAGACACATTGACTCCATTTTACTAGACAGATTGGGAGAATTATAAGAATGCTGAGTAACATAAGTATTCGAACTTCTGCAAACAGTCTTGATGTGTCCAACTTTACCACATTTGTGACACTTAGCACCCCGAAAACGGCAAGTGCTTCGTAGATGTAACTTTCCACAGGAAAAACACGGTTTAATGTTTTTGATCTCTCGCTGCATTCTATTACCTGTGGACGACAGTTTGGATTGCTTTCCATGAACACTTGTATTTTCGACTTTGGACAACATGACATCAGATACTGACGTAGTGGGAGCAGAGTATTCACTGTTGACATCTTCATATGTAATACATAAATCTTTAGCAGTTTGAAAGGTACAAGAAGGAATCTGAATTAACTCTTTCTCTAACTTAGGAATATTGATTCCAGCAATTAGACGATCACGTAGTTGAGTATGCAGCTGATCTCCAAAGTTACACTTTGAAGCTTGTATTTGGAGTTGAAGAATAAAGTCTCTAATCTTCTGGTTGGGAGCACGAACCAGTTTGTTGAATTGAGCCCTCTCTCTGGTCTCAAAAGTAGTTACATGAAGGTGATGTATCAGAAGTTCACGAATCTTGTCATATGACAGAGAAATAGGTTTATCTGGAAACGCCAGATTCTTCACTAGGCTATATGCATCTAGCCCAATAGCAGTGATGAAATGTGCTGGAAGTTTGTCATCCCGAACATTCTTTGAAATGCACCATGCATCGAAGCATTCAAGATAATCAGCAATCTCCGGCGGTGAACCATTTATAGGAAAATTTCCAAGGTTATTTAGTTCCATCGCGACGCCAATTTGTAGTAATTTATTGTAATCGTAGTATTAGTATTTCGAGATGACCGAATTACAAGAATCCAACCAAAACACACAGAGAGGGCGGAATTCAGGAATTTGTATTTAACGGAATTATATTGCAATTCATATAAGAAATATATTAACAATCAACAGTATGTATTTAAACAATACAGAGATAGAAATTGTCAATCACCACATAGCGTGTATGTCTTAAAGTTATAGTGGGCAAGCGTAGTCAGTAGGATCTACTTTGTCGGTGTGGCATTGGTTGGAGGTATCGTTATATCAAAAATTGACAGAAGTTAGAATTCATGAGTCAACGAATTCCAGTCCAGTAGTTGAACGATCAACAGAGTGGCCTTGTAACTTGAAGGTCGTAAATTCGATTTCTAGTGCGATGTGCACTGCTGATAGGACTCAAAGTAGGACAGGACAGCTGTGCAACTCCGTTCGTTTTTCAATCATTCTCTATGTGACATTGATTAACGACGAATCTTTCTCAGCAGTATGGTTTACCGGTGGAACTAAAGGTGAAGATATTTTAAAAATAAAACTTAATAAACGAGTTAATCAGAACCTCGTAGAGTAATGACATTCGAAAATTTTTATACTGGCTTGTAATAACAGTTGTAGTAGTGGCTTTATGCGAAACAGTACATCTGATGGTAAATCGGTGGCACAGTGGTTAGGACTCTCGCTGACTATGCACATGGTCCGAGGTTCGGTCCCCTGCCGACGCAGACCCGATATGAATGGTCGACCTGCAAAATTTGGGCTACCGATATCACATGCTGAAATCAAGCTTTAATCAGAAAATGTGAAACTTTTAGCATATAGTGCAATACTACATATCATCTTTTGTTTACATCACACAGTAATGGAGGGGAATAATCAACAGGGCATTTACATTAGTAATAATGTCAATAAAAATATGATTGTACAGTTAAAATTTATTAGTTATGGTGATAGCAGTATAATTATGATAGAATGAATAAAAAGAGCCATTTACTTGGTGTTTCTCAGTAATTTAGTAATTTCATGTTTAACGTCTTTCTCATAACATTAGCAAAGTGCCAGATAAGGTGTAGTAGAGCTTTTATACACAGTTATCCTACCATAAGGTCTTATAATTACCTTTAGTCGCACCTGATGAGATGCTGGGGGATACTGAGAATCCAATGAGATGACATTTACAATTTCTTACATGAATTCAAGTGCCTTTCCACAACAGTATTAAGAAATTGATTTAAGGACATCCAACGTGACCTAGTAACAGCTTTTAGTACTCTTCGCAAAGGAAAATCTTAATAAAAAATGGATTTCCACGTGTTATAGATAAGAATGTACATTCAAATCCTATAAAACGTGATTTATCATTCGTACCCACGAAAATGCTTTACATGAGCTTGGAATTCAAAGGTGACTTAGCTTTCAATATCATGAAAAGAAGGATATCACAGTTCCTGGAAAGAAACTTTCCCGCCGCATCCCTGAGAGTAGCTTTACTAGTCAACCATCACTGTTTAATAACCTGAAGGAGAAGATCCCACTGTTAACCAACTCTATGTGCGTTTATCAATTCACCTGCTCTTGTGGAGCTAGGTATATCGGTCGTTCGACTCGAGTTTTGTCCAAGAGGGTACAAGAAGACTATCCTGCATGATTATGAAGAGGTGGAAGTGAAGCAATAAGAAGCGCGATCACTGAACATCTGGTCGATCATGATCACCCTATCTCTATAGCCTCCGCCTTTAACGTCATCTACAAGGTAAAAAGTAATTTACCGAAATCACTGCGCGCCCGACTCATTTGTATTGGTGAATCTTTGGCTATTGAAACAAAAAAGCCAGATATCTGTGTGCAGAAAACGTCCGTTCAACCCTTCCAACTTTCATGGTCAGAATCCCTCTATGCTAAAGTATGGTAATCCCTAACTATATTTTGGCTCTGCCAATTTTTCATTTTGTCTATTCAATTTGTATACTCTTCCTTTATTGAGTCAATTGTTACTTTTACTATTCTTACTTTGAACTGTTCCCGGTATTATTTCACTTGTTTCACTTGTCATTCTAAATTAGTTCTGTTTTGCAACGTTAAATTCTATGTTATCAAATTTCACACAATATTACGTAACGTTTTTATTTTATTCGATTTGTCTATCAATCCTATAATTGTACACCCTTTCCAAGTTCCATCCATCCTATGAATTATTCTATATATGACATTAATTTGCTTTGCCACTTCACATTTAACTACGATTATAATCACAAACATTTTAGTTTTAATTGCACTTCATATTATTATTATTATTTTATGTATTCACAGCTAAGATTTAATTCCCTCATCGGATATAACTTCTTAAGAAGAACCATATATATGCGACTGTGCAGCTTGATGATAAATTCTTTGGAAGAAAGAGTCTCTTCGATGAATCTTTTGTTCTGACTTTCTTAAATAGTCCAAGAAAGATTAAAGGGGAGCAGTTAAGAAGAATATGTAAAATACAAGAGTTAAAAAACTGTTAACTACAGACTGAGTGATACAAAACTACATTAACTTCCTTACTCTAAAGGCTAAACAAAATATTTGCCTAGGAATTAACATGATTTAGGAAGACCAGACGAAAAACATAATCCAAGGTGTTCAACGTTCAGTTTAGTTTCAGCTTCAGTGTCGTCTATAACACAAGAAACATAGGAAAAAACCAATTCATGTAAATCACATTTGCGTCTGAAAGTGAAATTAACACTCTGATGTTAGTAGAGATTTAGCCTTAGACCGTACAACAAGGAAGACTTACTGTTTAACTCCATTATAGGTAAGATTTTATTTTGATAAATCACACACAGTGTTGTACAGTTATATGAACTGATGACGTTTCGAGCACAAACTACTGCCACTCATAATCATATCAAGTTACTCACACAACTTTTTTCTTTCATTTATATACATGTGTGGGATGGATTAGATATTGGATTAAAAATCAATGTGAGGTAATGTCCATTCAGAAATAATAGTACGAGTGTTGTTCAGTTCATGTAACTGTACAACACTATGTGATTTATCAAAATAAAATCTTATCTATAACGGAGTTATACTCTACAACAGTGCCCAAGTTTTATACTTATATCGACTTACTGATTACTTTTAAAAACCTATTTATTTTGGAACAATCTGATTGAGAAGTCACCGGCGTGGAAACAGTCAAATCAGCGACAGACTTAACAGAATTGGATTCATCTGAATGAGGTAAATCATATAAGAAGATAGAAAATAGAAAGGAAAAAAGAATAGCACCTTCAGGACAAACCGTCTACGCTAACTAAAGCAGTGAATAATTTTCCAGCATATACAATGTACTACTTCCTATCAGAAAAATAAAAATGCAACCATTCATTAGTCTCTTTTTAGCGAATCTATTCACTTAGCTGTACAGACTCAATTACACATACATATTTTTCTGGGTATGCGTACATTAGGTTTGTACGATAAGAATAAGATATAATTTGCGGTTATTGTTTTCAAGATATTTCAAAAAAAGTGATTAGTAATCTGGGAAATTATCCAACAATTTTTACTATCACGGTGACAACTATGTTGATTTCTACTAACTTGATGTTTGTGTGTCTGTTTTTCTAAATCCTTGTGGCATTTTTAAGAGTTGATTTGTTTGTCGAGTTTGAACATGAACTGATATCAGTTAAAAAAGCAATTGCAAACCAGCACTGGACAGCTGTCTATTCCGCCTGGTTTGCGAATCATCGAAAGTACGCAGCCACTGACATGGCTCGAACCCGTGACCTCCTGGTTACAAGGCGAGCCTGTACAGCATTCAACCACTGAAATCCAATCTAACGACTAGCCCATGAATTCTAAATTCTACCAATGCTTGATATTTAGCGCGACCACCACTCAGTGTCATCGGTGGGAACTCCATCCTCACTCCCGACTGGATGGACCCCACTGGTCACGATGTCTCACTCGAACTCATGGGCCATTAAATTGGGTTTCACTAGCTGAGTGGTATGCCGGCTCGACTTGTAACGGGAAGGTCCTGAGTTTAAACGTTGGCGGTGGGTGCATACTGCCTATGATCCCCAAACTAGAATGAAACAGCTGTCCAGAACTCCCTGGTTTTCATTGGTTCGAAACATAGTCATTAGTGTCAATCAAGACATAAAAGAAGTTGAAAAAACCTAATACGGTTACACAATAAAATAAATAATTTATTGAGTGAACTGTCATTGGGATACACCTAGAAACAAAAGAAAATACTGAGGTATGTGAGAGTTCTAAAAGACACAAATATCATAAAGGGCTAGAAAAAACAAGCGTGCAAAATATCAACCCAGTAGGAATAAATACTGTTATTGCGATGAGAGCAGAGGTGATTAGATGATGTACTTCGGTATGTATAACCGTGTTGATCGACAATTTTTATCTCTGTATTGTTTAAATACTTACTGTTGATTGTTAATATGTTTCTTATATGAATTGCAATACAATTCCGTTAAATACAAATTCCTGAATTCCGCCCTCTCTGTGTGTTTTGGTTGGATTCTTGTAATTCGGTCATCTCGAAATACTAATACTACGATTACAAAGAATTACAACAAACTGGCGTCGCGATGGAACTAAATGACCTTGGAAATTTTCCTATAAATGCTACTCCACGGGAGATTGCTGATTATCTTGAATGCTTCGATGCATGGTGCATTTCAAAGAATGTTCGGGATGACAAACTTCCAGCACATTTCATCACTGCTATTGGGCTAGATGCATATAGCCTAGTGAAGAATCTGGCGTTTCCAGATAAACCTATTTCTCTGTCATATGACAAGATTCGTGAACTTCTGATACATCACCTTCATGTAACTACTTTTGAGACCAGAGAGAGGGCTCAATTCAACAAACTGGTTTGTGCTCCCAACCAGAAGATTAGAGACTTTATTCTTTAACTCCAAATACAAGCTTCAAAGTGTAACTTTGGAGATCAGCTGCATACTCAACTACGTGATCGTCTAATTGCTGGAATCAATATTCCTAAGTTAGAGAAAGAGTTAATTCAGATCCCTTCTTGTACCTTTCAAACTGCTAAATATTTATGTATTACATATGAAGATGTCAACAGTGAATACTCTGCTCCCACTACGTCAGTATCTGATGTCATGTTGTCCAAAGTCGAAAATACAAGTGTTCATGGAAAGCAATCCAAACTGTCGTCCACAGGTAATAGAATGCTGCGAGAGATCAAAAACATTAAACCGTGTTTTTCCTGTGGAAAGTTACATCTACGAGGCACTTGCCGTTTTCGGGGTGCTAAGTGTCACAAATGTGGTAACGTTGGACACATCAAGACTGTTTGCAGAAGTTGGAATACTTATGTTACTCAGAATCCTCCTAATTCCTCCAATTTATCTGGTAAAATGCAGTCGATGTCTCTTTCAATTTTTCAAAATACTCAATCTCATCCAATGAAAACCTCCACTACAAGTTCAGCAACTCAAGCTTCACCTGTTTTGAAAACGAGGTAGCCGAGTTACAATGCGAACTATCGAAAACACGAAAAGACCTGATTGAGATGAGAGAGCAACTGATTAAAATGGAGGAATCACTGCATATGCATAGACTGCGTCTGTCGAATGCAGAGCATATAAGTACCCGTGAAAGTCCTGCAAGACTATTCAAATCTCGAATTCTCAGAAAGCATCTGATGTCCACGACTTCTGATGTACATTATAACAGAGGGAATGATTATAGACCTTCTATTGGTATCATACTACAAAGAATGGGAAATCGAATGGTGAAGATATTAGACATCAAAGATCACTCAGTTCATAACAGACACCTGGACAAAGTGACAATAAATGAAGTAGGTCCTTCCAATTATAATATTAGTGATCTCGCTACTAATCCTGATTTTGTAGATAATTCAGAAATAGGTCCAGATGATATTGATGGAAATAATATCACAGAATCAGTTAGAAGGTCGCAGCTACTTGCAAGCAAACCGAGACATCGTTATAAATACGCAAGGTGATATTCGACGTGTGGTGGATGTGGTGATTGACAATTTCTATCTCTGTATTGGTTAAATACTTACTGTTGATTGTTAACATATTTCTTATATGAATGGCATAATAATTGCGCTAAATACAAATTCCTGAATTCCGCCCTCTCTGTGTTTTGTTTGGATTCTTGTAATTCGGTTTGGTTTAATTATTTGTATTCGTAATATTAGTATTTCGAGATGACCGAATTACAAGTATCCAACCAAAACACAGAGAGGGCGGAATTCAGGAATTTGTATTTAACGGAATTATGTTGCAATTCATATAAGAAACATATTAATAATCAACAGTAGGTATTTTGTCAATACAGAGAGAGAAATTTTCAATCACCACATTCGTTCATTTTGAATTAGTAATACTAGGATTGCAATTAATTTCGACAAGACCTTTGATTTTTTCAGATGCATGCCTAGGGCTTCAACTTTACCCGCTGTATTTAAGTTTTGTATTTTTCCAACTCTTTCAGAATCTTGTATTTTTGTCCGATTTTATGAACATCTTAATCACAAATCACTCATTAAACGATTCATCTGATTCGTAACTATATCACGCTTATTCAACTTCTTTTGTGTGTTGGTTGACATCAATAACTACGTTTTTTTTATGACATATCACCACCACCCTCTTTCCGATCTTCACCCCCCACTAGTAACAATTTGATAACTCATCACTCTTTTGAAACGTCTTGACAACAATAACCGCAACTTATTTTCAGTCTTATAGGACAAACCTATTGTACACCCATATACCTAGAAAAAGAAGGATATATATTATTGAGATTGCATAGCTGAGTGAATAAATCCGCCGAAAAGAGACTCTTCGCTGAACTACGTGTTTCGTTTTCATTAATAATAATAATAATGATTTTTGCTTTATTCCAAAAACAGTACTAATGATACAGTAACGAATTTTCAGCATTCAGTACAATATTGCATCTAATTTACTCAAAAAAACGACAGAAAAAAAAATTAACATTACATAATAATAATAACAAAACGTTGTTATAGCAGCTATGTAGGAAATTACAGTATGCGATACGGAGAAAAATATGCATGAAGTATACAATTATAGTAATAATAGTAATAACAACTAAAATAAAATAGCAAAGTTGTAATTAAACGATAGAAAGTGTGGCACCATAAAATACAGAAAGATGAACAATGAAAGGGCCAATTTACTGTGCTAACTACATTGTAACTTATATGTTTCACGTCTAACAGAGTCTTCATCATATAAAATACTGGCTAAAAAGGGTATTGTAGAATTTCTATACTTAGTGGTACGAGCATATAACTTTTTATATTGACTTCTCGTCCTACCTGATGAGATGCAAGGAGAGTGTTGTGAATAAAGGGGTGCAGAGGGTCTGACAGTACAGTCTTTGCCCATTTTGTACAGGAATTTATGTGTCTCTCGACTATAGTATTGGCGAGCTCACGCAGTGGCATACCACATTTAATACCCTTCGTAATATGATATAGTCTTTTTTGAGAAGCCCAGGAAAGATTAATGGAGAGCAATAGAGTACAATAGGTAAGGTACAAGAGTTTACAAACTGCAGAAGTAAAGGTTGGTTGATTGTCTAAACTTTTTAATGTAGAAGGTAAGACGAAACATTTTCTTAGAGATAGATAAGATGTGGGATGTGGAACACGAAAGGTCAGAGGAAATAACTAATCCAAGGTATTTAATGCTTGACTTGGTTTCAATTTCCGTGCCATCTATGTATGCTACAGGCATCATGGAAACTAACTAGTTCATGTATGTCACGTCGATGTTTGAAAGTAAAGTTAACTGCCTGACATTTGGAAGGATTTAACATAAGACCATTTAATTCAATGGGGATTATTCATGTGTTACAGTAAGCTTTTTTTAACAAAAGAGGCCTAGGTACAGAGTCAAAAGCCCATTATGTAATCTACGAAGGTATATGGAATATATTTAACATCTTCGTCTGAAAAGTGAAGACAGTATTTATCGAGAGAGAGATTACTACTTTCAATGGGCTACTTGAGTAGTATACTCTAAATTTATAAAATAATAAGTTATTGTTGTAAAGCTGTTGCATTTTATGTTGCGTTTATTATCATCTCTTTCCTACCGATTGCCACCAACCATCTAATACCAACAAGTGGTAAATCGTTCAAGAGATTGATTGAAAAATCAATAAAATTGATCCCATTTTAAATCAACATATATAACATGGAATATACACCGAATATCAAGACTTCTGAGTAACAATAATAATAATAGTAATAATAATAATAATAATGCCATGTACACACAATGTTTGTATGACACTGTGTGATTACTTAACAAAAGATCGTTTAAAGTGTATAACAATAGTCTTAGCCTCATCAATGATAATATCAATCAACAATGGAATAATGTATGTTCCTGGAATATATGTTCCTTATTGGCGAGAAGAAATGAATGCAAGTAGATTCGAATTAGATTTTATTGGTTCACTACAAATGGGATTTGCATTTTGTCAAGGTAAAATATAAAACTTGAATTTATCCTTATGGTGTTTGTTGCTGAATATTCCCTAATACACACACACACACATACTATACAGGTCCATTTTTAGGCTATCTTATCCGTCGATTTGGTTATCGGATAATATCTGCTATTGGTGGTACAATATGCGCTATCTCCTTTACAATTTGTTCATTCACTGTACACATCAGTATGCTTTATATATTCTATGGAGTATTCAGTGGTAATAAACTATAATCAACAAACCATAAACACAATGTTTGTTTTTTTCTCAAAACCCAACAGGTTTAGGTATTGGAATGTTGTATATGAGTGCTGTAGTCGCGGTGACAACAAATTTTGATGAAAAACGACCAATAGCTATGGGTATTGTAACCTGTGGTACAGGTTTAGGTAAGTAAATTTATTTAGAGAAATAATGTAAAGTAATTTAATCTAATTTAACGGTGAAGTTCAACAATAGCGTCCCAGGAGTGTGAACGCTCCACTGACCTTGAACGCATGCTAGTCGTTGGCCAACGGCATCTATCACTACCACAGCTGAAATATCAACACTGTTCACCAGCTTAGGAGCAAATTTCAACCAGATCACGTTTTTAAGTACTGTTTAGACAGTGTATTAATAGCTCGTTAGGGTTAGGATCAGGGTTATAACTAGGATTAGGGTTAGAATTACGGTTTAAATAAGGGTTATGATTAGGGTCAGGATTAACCTTACGGTTACGATTAGGGATAGATTTATAGTTGATGTCATTTATTTTAATTTATTTTATTATCCACGTTCTCCTGGTAAGTATTTGTCTGTCTTCTCGCTGGAAATCATAACAATTCAACCGAGGACTTTTTCGGACGATTGCAAGCAGGATGAGAAGGATACACGATTCACAAAAACAGTTTATCTGTAGTCATCTCGGTGAATACACATGTACAGAAACTGGTCTAACTTAGCAACCGATACTCCTCATTATAACTGGGACGTATTTTTAAGCCGTTTCAGAGAAAGACAACTTGTTTAATGCGTTTTCAAACCTTTTCCAGTCAATATACGTCATATTTTGAGCCAACACTCCTCATTTTTATGATTGGTCAGCTGAAGGTCACTGCTCGTGCGTTCGCACTCCTGGGACGCCATTGTTGAACTTTACCATTTAACTTTTATTTTCATTATAATAAAGGTTATTTGTATTTCCAAATGAATGAAAAACAAAACGATACTATCGTTGTTTTTACTGACGTTTCGCTATTTAATACCACTAATAATTTTATCAAAGTGTTATTATTAAAACAGAATTTACAAAATCTCAGCTTATATATAATAACTTAATCACCATTCATCAGCATGGGGTCATTTTTGCGTTGTCAAATTGACCAATTGGTAAAGATAACAAAATTAGGTGTAGATTAATGGATTTGATAAGTGTGTAAGATTATATAAGAAGCGTGTGTTTACATAGTGAAATTGCTTATGACATTCGTGTTGATTTTGTCATTTCATGGGGTACGGGAGTGTTGTAACCACGTCAAATTATGTTTTATTCCATCATTCCTATCCACTTGGCATGAAGTGCTTCTGATATTAGAAGTTCTTTGTGATTTCTGAAATCTTCAAGTATTGGCTTTTTTGTAGGGATTTTGTTTGATTACATGGAGGATTTAATCATGAGCTGACATCAGTTAGAGAACCACTGGAAAACCTGGAAGTACTGGACAGCCGTTTCGTCCTAGTTTGGGACTCCTCAGCAGCACGCACCCACCGGGATTCGAACCCAGGACCTTCTGGTTACAAGGCGAGCTCGTAGACCATTGAGCCACTGGGACCCGATCCAATGGTCCTTGAATTCTAACTTCTGCCAGTTCACGACATAGCGCGACCACTTCGCAATGTCTTCTTCGATGAGTTACTGCCTCATCTTCGACCTGCTGTACCCTTTATCTGGATGACTTCAAGATTGTCAAAATCAATTTTGTGGCCAGATTCTATAGCGTCGCGTGTAGACTAGCTGTGGCTGGTGATTTTTCAAACTTTTCTAGTTCAGCCGAATTTCTCGGTGGCCGAACTGTGTGCGTCCGTGGTACAGTGGTTAGGACTCTCGCCGACCATGCGCATGGTCCGGGGTTCGAGCCCGCACCGACGCACACCTGATATCTATGGTCGGCCTGCAAAATTTGGGCTGCCGATATCCATGCTGAAAATTCCATACTTTTACCGAAAATACAGTGTGGAATCAAGCTGTAAATAAAAAAAAATAAAATAATTTGATTTTTTTCCTACGATGTTCATTTCTTCTGATTTTGATTTCTCGAGATGTTTGTCTGATGTATATTGCATCATACCCCAAGCATATTATTTGATAGACACAATTAGATAGGGAATCTGCAAGAATTTAGTCTTTTATGTGGACAAGGTTGTTTCGCAGTGTGTCTGATATCTTGAAGACAACTTTAATGTCGAGCTGATTGAGTACTCTTCTGATATCGTCTGATATCTCCGCTCTGTTGAGGTCTATGTTTTCGGGATACGTTTTCGACAATATTTAATGTCAGTGTTGATTTTGTTGATGAAGTTTCTTGGGTAGTTGTTTTGCTTGAGAGTTTCAGTAATGTTTGATATTTCTTCTTCTTCTTCTTTTTCTTTCTCATCTGTTATCAGTAAGTGTGCTCGTCTAAGAAGACTTGAAACAACTGAGGCGTTTGAGCTGAAAAAACCTTTATTATGACGATTATCATATACCCAATGCCCAAATTTTTTTCAAACTTTTAAAAGTGAACTTGGTTTGGACATATATATATAAATAACCTTTATTTTATTTAATTCTTTTTCTAGGAGTCTCATCTATGAGTTTTTTCATTCCATTACTCTTAAAGAAGACAGGATGGCGTAGTAGTATGTACATACTTTCTGGACTATCTATTTGTCTTGCTCTGTTTGGTGCATGTTTAATATCAAGAAAAAATCAAAAACACAGATCATCATCTACTTATTTTACTGATGTACTACCCAGAGGGATATTTGAAGATGTTCAACTACCAGTACAATTATATGGTTCAACCAGAGAATTAAATTCAGCGATTAAATTGACAGATCTTGTCGATGTTCGATATGGTCATCATTTATTAGGTAATCTTGGATCATATTTCTATATGACACAAATCAATCAAATACATTTAAAAGACTTAAGAAAGAAGAAAAAAGCTTTAAGTCTATTGATTATCCCTGAATATGATTTGTATCTAGCAGGAATGCTACTGCTGTCATGTGTATTTATAGTACCGTTTATTTTCATCTACGATTGGTTAACTATCAAAGGATTTAGTGCAAATCAAATATCAATTGTTTTATTAATGAATGGAGTATTTGGTGGATTTTCTAGACTGCTGATTGGATTTGTCTCAAATATGAAATGTTCTAAAGTTGTCATAATCCTGTTATTCTGCTTAGGAATATCTGGAATTCTATCTATTTCGTGTACATATTTTAATGAACCATGGCAATATGCTATTTATTCAGCGATAGATGGAATTTGTTGTGGTAAGTGATGATACACACTTGAAGGTTCCTTTTTTAGATTACTTTTGTTTTTACGAGTTAATCACGGATTGCTATCAGTTGGAGAAGCGTCGTTGGAAACCAGTACTGGATAGCTGTCTCTTCAGTCCAGTTTGCGAATCATCGACAGTACGCACCCACTGATAGGGTTCGAACCCGCGACCTCCCGTTCGTTTAAAAGGAAAGCTCGTATATCATTCAGCCACTGGGACGCGATTCAATGACCGGTCAATGAATTCTAACTTCTACCGATTCGTGATATTTAGTGTGACGACCAGTCAGTATCATTGGTGGGACATTCATCCTGACACTTTACTGGATCGACCTCACTGGTCACGACTTCTCACTAGAACTGCAGGAAATTCCGTCCTGTAACAAGTCACTAGCGAGCATCAGACTAGTTAGCTGTAGTTGGTTTGTAAGGATTAGCTTTGTGACTTGCTACAGGACGGAGTTTCCTGGAGTTCTAGTGACAGGAGGTGACCGGTGAGGTGCATCCAGTCAAGTGTCAGGATGGATGTCCCGCCGATGATACTAGTTGGTGATCGCGCTAAATCCCGAATCGGTAGAAGTTAGAATTCATGGGCTAGTCATTGGATCGGGTCACAGTGGCTATATGGTATACGAGCTTGTCTTGTAAACGGGAGGTCGTGGGTTGGAGCCCTGTCAGTGGGTGCGTACTTCCGATGATTCGCAAACTGGACTGAAGAGACAGCTATCCAGTACTGGTTTCCAACGACGCTTCTCCAACTGATAGCCCAACCTTTTCCTCTTCACCAGCTTTTTGTTTCTGGCTTAGCGAGGTAAAGAAGTGCGTCGGCCGGGGATCGAACCACTGACCATATGCATGGTCGGCGAGGGTCCTAACCGCTATGCCATTGACGCTGAAAAACAACATGGATCAATAGAACCAAACCTCAAGGATGTGAGTTAGTGGATATAAATAGGGTTGGTAATAATAACAAGAATAAATTCATACAAGTGTTTATACAATCTAGGTAGTTTTAAATGCTTCAGTACAGTGTGTAAACTACTAGGGGGAAATAACGTTCGTCGAATTCCCTTTTTTTCAATCTCTCACGTTCCCAGTGGAACATAGGGTTTCAAGCTAGATGCTTGAAGTTTCTGTAGCAGTGGTGATTATTTTTACAGGATCGAGCTGCTAGCCCCCGGCTGAACCTTTCCTCTTTACCAGCTTTCTATTTCTGGCTTAGCGAGGTAAAGGAGTGCGTCAGCCGGGGATCGAACCCTTGACCACATGTGTGGTTGTCAAGCCACCAAAGCGCATTCCCATTATATTATATATAAATTCGAGGAAACAAGACGTAAACAGCAAAGAAAAATTCCGGATTTCATCATGAACTGACGTCGGTTAGAGAATCATGGAAAAACCTGGAAGTACTGGACAGCTGTTTCGTCCTTGTTTGGAGCCCACTGGGGTTTGAAACCCGGACTTTCTGGCCACAAGGCGGGCCCGTATACCAATAAGCCAATTCGCATTAAAGCGTGGCTACCAGCGAATGTCATCAGTGGCGAATACTTGTCCTCTTACCCGACCTGATTTATAAATACTAACTGATGACATTCTGCCTGAATGTGACTTTTTAGTTCTAGGTTTATGAAAGGAGTTTTCTTGGAAACAGTCGCAATTTTCGGAGATGGAAGATTCTCTTTTATCTTTTTGTCGATAAACCTGAGTGGATATCCGTCCTCCAGTAGGATTTCGAGTAGTAATTTTAATTCATTCTGTATCATAACTTCTGAAAAGATTTTCAGAATATTTGAGCATCAAGCACGTTTTAAATTTTACTTTCCGATCAGTGGAACAAAGCTCTGGAGGTTAATAAACTGTAAAGTTCATGTTGGTTTGTGGTATATTAATCTTTAGATCGAGTAGCCTTGTCTTTTAGTTAGAAGTACATTCAGGTATGGAAACGGCATGTTTGACTCACTTTCTTGGGTAAATTTCATTGAACGGAGTACTGCGCTGAAAGTTCTGAGATTGCTTAGATCAAACTCTTCATCATAAACTATGAAAATGTCATCTATGTATCTCTTGGGAGGTACAGTTGACTGATCAAAGGATCAAGGATGTTGTCTTGGAATAATTGAACTGTATGGTTTTATTTGTTCATACACCTTCAACGTTATAACTGGATCTTCCTTCATTTTATTCAGTAATTTTGTAAGGCGGTTTTCTCTTCTTTCGTTTGTGTGATTTAAAGAATTTGGTATTATTTGATGATATGTGTGTTAATTTTTCAAAATAATCTGATCTGTTCATCTCATTACCACAGTCCCATTGCTCTTATCAGGACGAATGAAGATTGTCTCTACTTTCTTGAAATTGTGAGACTAAGATTTAAAATAGTCAACTATAGCACAGCATGATACCGTATGATATTATAAAGTTAGCAATACAAAGAGAAATATATCTACATATATCCGGTGTCAAAGGAGAGATAACCGTTCTAGGTTGGGGTAGAAGGCATGTAACGGCCTAAGACTGAAATTTTTATGACAACCACCTTAGTTATGTTCAACAATTGAAAGTGTACAAACTTAGGGAATTGATGGGTAATTTTTTCTAGAATTATAAAGACATCAGTTCTATCACTCTTGTTCTCCTTATTCACAAGATGTGTCGGTATGGATCTCCTGATTGACTCTTTGATAATGCTCAAGAAAGTGATGTTGAGCTTCCCAAATCATTCTACTTATTTGGCTGTCTTCCCAAGAACTGCTAAATTTATAAATGCACATTGAAGTAGTCAGAATGGATAGCTTATCCTTCACCCACGTTGGAATTACACAATGAGTAGTGAATTTTGAATATAGCTTTGCGGTAAAGAATGTTTTAGCTATTATTTTTCGGAGTTTTGCCGCCAGTAATTCGCTGGCTGCGTCTCCTTTAAACAGCAAAGTGATATATACACACATATGTTTATTCTGCACAGACCGCAGGGATTTCTCTCTATCTGTTTTTATCGTGGCTATAGAGAGTGAAGGACATGAAAAGCCTAGTTAGCTGTCTTTCATCATAGGTGCCTGCGTTCTATCTCCCGAGTGAAGTGGCATAATAGGGTAAACAATATTGAGGTTAAGCGTCAAGTGCTAGGTAAGTGGGAGGGGAAATCAATCGACAAGACTGTGAAGCTACATTTACTGAGATGGTTAGGAAATGTGTTGTCCATACCTGCCTGACCATCGCCTTCCTCGACCAGCAGTGTTAGCTGGCATAAGATGGATCAGGCTGGAAAAGAGTCAGTGCTGGTCAAACAAAAACATGGCTTCATCAGTTAATAATATCCATGACAGATAGTTTAAGCCAGCCAGCCAGCCACATAGGAGGATGTAGACTTCCTGACTGGTTGGGGTCTTCGGGACGGTAATCACCAATGAGGGCTGGTGACAATCGGTGATATGGCTCAAAATCGTTCTCAATGGCTAGCGCAAATGCATCCACTCCATATGACTTATAATATCCAATAAAACTATATTATTCTTCGATATTACTATTCTTTTCGTCTAATATTTCTGTTTACTGTCTCTAATTTGCATTTCTTTTTACCTTCTTCTCTTGCTTTGTGTGCTACAAGGAGGAAGAGTGACAACTCCAACTGCTGTACATCTGTGAAAGTTCTGTGTCAGTCAAGAAATATGAAAGAAGCTCTTAAAGAATAAAATTAACAATAAGAAGAACAATGTGCATGAGAAAGTTGTATACAGAAAGTTGATAACACCAACTATAAGGAATTTAAAACATCAGTAGTCCTGTCATACAAAAAAGGGAACATCTGAAACCGTTACATAGAATACCTACTCAACAAGACAGGAATAAAAGTGAAATTCAAACCAACAAACTCATTCAAAAGCAAATTGTGTTGGTTAAACAATCCTGTGGAACCCATTAAATAAAATAATTTAGTTTTTCTAGTACGCTACATTGATTGTGAAGTCAGAGGAGTAGGTCGCGGGGTTAATCAGACTAGTGCAGCATGATAACCTAGCAAAATTTGGTTTGGTTTCAGGATTTCATCATGAACTTTACATCAGTTAGAAGGGACCATTGTAAAACCAACTGGGAGTACTGGACAGCTGTCTCATCCTTCTTTGGGACTCTTCAGCAGTACACGCCCACTGCCAGGGCTCAAACCCCAGAACCTTCCGGTTATTTATATAGGCGCGACCACTAGCGAATGATATCGACGAGTATCTTTCCTTACACCCGAGCATCAGGTTGATATTAAAGTGTTCGTTTGCAGGGATTTGATTGGTTTCATGATTTCTTCATGAGGTGGCATAGGTTAGAGAACGCCATTGGAAAACCTGGGAGTACTGAACAGTTGTTGTTTCCATAGTGATGGCAGCCGTGTTTTTTCCTAATAAATATAAATTGGAAACTGTTTTACTTCCCTTTACGTTCACCTACATATCATAATGTGAATCAACGTTGTTTTCTGTATGCATTCATAAAATTTTTAAAAGTACTCATAGAAGGTAGTTTTTAGTTTGGTAATTAGTATCTCTATATAGCCGAATTATGTAGACTTTATCTTCAACGCACCATTTGCACATATCTTCTGGTATTCCTTTATATTGTGTTTCCTCGTGTTCCTTTCACGTATCCCATGCATCTCCGCAATGCTGTATCATCGTTTGCCTTCTCTGAAATCGAATGAATCTCCCTGCTAGTTGATGTTTTTTTATACCGACGAACATATATATACTACTGATAAATCTCATGAGTAGCACTCGCCACAATATTATCAATTGTGAGCTACACAACTTTGGAACTTAGTTTTTACAGTTGTCTCGTAACGACAGGAAACAAGGGCCAGGCAACAGATCGTTTATTGAGGAAATCAAGATATATATATATATATATATATATATATATATATATATATATATATATATATATAATGTACATTATTATTCGTTATTATTAGCGGAGAAACAGCGTCTTCTGATTGGTTGTTTTCTCGCTGGAAGTTATTCTGTTATGTCGTTGTGGCCGTTTCTTCGAAGGTCAGACCATATATCTGCTAATCGTTTGCTAACCGCCCACGCAAAGTCTGCTATGATTGGTTATTGAGTTAGTCTTTGTTCTTGTTTTTTCTCATCACCAAGACATGGCACGTAAACATTGACGTGAATTTCTGTCTACCAATTTTGGCAACTCTCACAACACTCTTTCTTTATTCCCATTTGTTGTAAAGGTAGTACAGTTTTCCAGATTTCTGGGCGGACAGGTGTTGAATCATTACTATTGCACATATTCTTAGTTGAACCAATAAATAAAACTTCAGATAATAATCTATGCTTCCAACCTGTTCCATTATATTTTAAGATCTGTCATCTTATCCCATCATACTCTTTGGTGGTATGTAAATACATGTGGTGCTACAACTGAAATAGAGACAATCCAATTCACTTATGAGATGGAAAGTCACAAAAGTGGAGCTTCCAATGAAAAGCTGAACACCAGTGTTTTCGCAGAAAGCCCACACATATAAACCGATACTTGAAATCCGGTTCATCTCTACGCCATTGCAGTGAAAATAAGATTGGTGAGCAAAACAGCTAAATAATCCTAAAGACAGTAGGTAAGACGTGTGCACTGCTCAACAGTTCTCTCCATCCTCCTTTATGTCTGTGAGCGAGATATGGCCATTGAAAGTGGAAGACATGAAAACTCTAGGTGTATTTGATCATAGATGCCTGAGTTATATCTCCCATGCTAGGTGGTATAATAGTATCAGTAATACTCAGGTTAGGCGTCGAGTTGTAGGTAAGGACAGAAAATCAGTCGGCGAGGTTGTTAAGTTATGTCGATTGGATTAGATGGTTAGGACATCGCCTTCTTCGACAGCCAGTGTTAGCTGACACAACATCAATCAGGTTGGAAAACAGCTACTAGTGGTTAGACCAAAACATGACTTCATCAGTCAATGAAATCCACAACAGTTAGTTATAGCCACCCAGTCACGTGGAGAGGCGTAGACTTCCTGGCTATTTGGGGTCCTCGGGATGGTGCAAACCAATCAAGGCTGGAGGTGATCGGTGATATGACTCAAAATCGTTCTCAATGGCTAGCGCAAATGCATCCACTCCATATGACTTATAATATCCAATAAAACTATATTATTCTTCGATATTACTATTCTTTTCGTCTAATATTTCTGTTTACTGTCTCTAATTTGCATTTCTTTTTACCTTCTTCTCTTGCTTTGTGTGCTACAAGGAGGGAGTGTGGCGACTTGAACTGCTTTACATCAGTACAAAGTCCTCTGTTTAAACTAGTCAATCAGACTTTCTGAGTCTCCGTTCTTGTATAATAAGTTTTCCACTGTCTTTATTTCATTATCAAGAATGTCGGTTGTGCAGAATTTTCCTAGCACATAACATTAAGGTATTGATGATTCTAATTGATTCTATCGATCAATATTGTTTCAAATGTATATCACAAATATTTTATTATGTAATTGTGAAACCTGATGACAATTTATCGAAAATACGTATTTACTTTTGATGATATTAGATGGTTGGAGGCAATCGGCCACAGGAAGCCTTGGACCTAAGTTTCCTGCTAGTTGGCACTCATCAGCAAGGCGTATCTGCAACCTTAAAGGGACTCATGTCCCTTCTGAGATTCGAACCCGCGTCATCCAGTGCTGCAGTCAGAGACGTTACCACTGAGCCATTCGGGCTCGCGATTGACCTCGTGTAGGACTGTAGTGGGTATTTTGATTGGACACTAGTGAAGTCCAGCTACTTGGAATGGTGGCCACATTGTAAACCTGACTGATAAAATTAAGTCTACACCAAAGAAAGGACTAGAAACGTCACACTAGTTACTAGTGTCCAATCAAAATACGTATTATTGATATAAGTATAAAACTTGGGCACTGTGGTAGAGTATAACTCCATTATCGATAAGATTTTATTTTGATAAATCACACACAGTGTTGTACAGTTATATTAACTGATGACGTTTCGAGCACAAACTATTGCCAATCATAATCATATCAAGTTACTCACACAACATTGTTCTTTCATTTATATACATGTGTGGGATGGATTAGATATTGGATTAAAAATCAATGTGAGGTAATGTACATTCAGAAATAATAGTACGAGTGTTATTGATCCATTACAATTATATGGGAAATACGAATGTTTTATACGAGTGTTGTTTTATAGTCATAATAAGTTACTTGTTAGAATGTTATGGTGTGTCTGAACTGAAATAGAATTTTAAGATTATTTATTATCCTCTTCTGATTTGACTTAAGGTAATAATATCTCCCATATTTCTGGTATTTGCATTGAGTCATTTCTGTTGCATGTGTTGGGTGTAGACTCGATGAGCAGGGATTCCGTAATCAACCTCTCTCTCCACCTACCTAGAATACTTTTTAGAATTTTAACCCTCTCCCACCCACCCTATTGTGTGGTTGTTTGTTAATGCGTGAAGTGCAATAGCTGAGCTTTTTTCTAAATTACTTAGCTTCATGGGGTCAACCATTCTTACCTTAGCTAAATTCTTATGTTCTGATAATCTGACTAACCCTGACCTACTAGTTTGACCTATTTAGTTGAACTGACTCACAGTTATTGCAGGGTATTTTGTAAATTATATTATTTTGTCTAATTGGATCAACTGGATCCTTTAACCCACAGAGCTTATCCTACCCGAGTGAGTTTGTAGGTTTAAATGCCACCCTAATTCCTGCTTTATTTAGAATCCTACGTAGGGTCTCAGATATCCCTTCTTTATATGGTATAACTGTAGATGACTTATATTCTCTCTTATTTATGTTATTATTACTAGTTTCACAATTATTTTTATTTTTCGTTTGGCCTTTTCCGATCTTCCTAATGAATTTTAAAGGATAGTTATTCAACACTAAAGCCTCTTCTATCTCTTTTAGTTCATCATTTAGGTCTTTTCTTGTGCTACTTAGTGCTACTGCTCGGTTTGTTAGACACACACTTAACTAAGCCTGTCTTAACAGGCAACGGATGAGATGAATTAAAGTCGAAGTATCTATTAGAATGAGTTGGTTTTCTGTAAACACTAGTGTGTAGTTTGCCTTCTTCTATTCGTTTTATCTTACAATCTAACATAGCTAATTCTCCTTGTTCATTTTCCGATTCAAATGTAAATTTTATTCCCTCTACTTGTGAGTTTATGCGTGTCAAGAAGCTAGAGATATGTTCTGTTTTTAACACCGTGAAAGTGTAATCCACATATCTCCACCATATTTTTGGAGTAGGGTTAAATGTATTGAGGGCACTATTTTCCCAGCTGTCCATAAATGTGTGTGCTACGATAGGGGATATTGGCGATCCCATTGCTACACCTCCTGTTTGTCCATATATTTTACCTTGGAATTTGAAGGTAGTAGATGTGAGGCATAACTGAATCCCTAAAATAATTTGTTCAATGGGCAGCTTTGTCCTATGATTGAGTTCAGGATCCGCAGTTAATTCTTTTTTAACTGCTTCTAAGGCCATATTAACTGGTATATTATTATAAAGACTAGTTATATCAAAACTAACCATCTTTCCATCATTCTCTAGTTGAATGTCATTTATTTTATTTTTCATCTCATATGAATTAGTTAGTCTAGAGTTTGAACGATTTCTAATGGGGCAAAATATTAGAGCTAAGTGTTTTGATAATTCATTCTTTACTTTACGTATTTACTTGCTATAATCATATTCTATACTTATCATAACTGAAGATATTTGAATATATTTATGCTTTCATTACAGGTGCATATAGTGTTCTACAACCACTTGTCTTGGTAGAAATTCTATCAAGAGATCATATTACACAAGGTCTTGGCATACTTTTATTCGTCTGTGGTTTAGGCTATCTATTCGGTGTCCCTATCCTTGCAATGGTTTATGATCAATGGAAAAGTTATGAACTATGTTACAGGATATGCGGAATAGTTTGCCTTATAGCTAGTGGGTTAGTATTCACTATGTGGATGTTATCTTATAGAAAGGTAAGATTAGAAATAGCTGAATTAAAATTGAAACAAAATTTGGAGAGAAGTTATCAGCTGTACGGTAGACGTCAAACTGACTCATCAACAAGTACAATTCAATTGAAGGATATTGAATAGAAACAGGATGAAGTAATACAAAATGGATCACATGGAATATTGTTTTCAGCATGGGATTTTACAATATGCATAAATAAATGTATAATTATTTTTTGTATTTATGGTTTTCATTAATAAATTACGCAAGCACAAAATCTTTTGTACTTTATATATATATATATATATATATATGTAATATCTTGGATATATTAACAGACGTAACATATTGTGTACGAGTAGGGAAACAATGTCAAGTCTTGGTTTCCAGGGCTTTTACTGCTTCTGGTTACAGAAGCATTGAAAACCAGGTGGTAATGGATGGCTCTTTCGTCCTATTTGCCGATTGTTCATAATATGACTGTGAATGAACTTGGTGGTTGAGCTAATGAATTTCCTACCTAGACGATTCGCGAACCTGTCGTTCTAACCGATATTAGTAATAACAACGACAATAACAACGCGATACGATACTACAGAAAACAGGACGCAAAAAGACAACAAGAGGAAACAGACCGTTGATGTGGAGAGCTTTTACTACCATGTAAGATTAGTGAAAAAGGGTTGACAGCGCTTGCATATATGCATGCTTTAAATGACCTGGAAATATGCTGATGACACTTATAAAATTAAAGCAGTCAACAGCTAATAGGATTTAAGGTCATAAGTGGGGTGGGGCAGATACGAGCAACAATGTAAGATTAATGTAGTATTTCTGGGAAATGAGGTCTATACACTCAATACCTTCAGGTTACGAAGCGCGGCCTTTGGCCATTCAAGCGCTCAGACGGAATCCAACAGCTCCTGAATTCTAACTTCTACCGTTTTGGCTGTATATATATATATATAGCGCCACTGCAAGCCAGTGTCATTAGTGTGTATTTGTTTTCACATCCAAGCCGGTGGATCCCACCAGCCACTAAACCAGTCGAATCCCTACAAATCAACATGTGGGAATCAGTCTACTGCTCATAAAGCTGTCTAGACTTCTAGTGAGAAGCTCTCTGGTCATGAGTACATACTGATGAAGAATCCCACAGTAGAGTGAAACAGTTTAAATTATTTCACTTCGTTAGAGGACTTGGTAGACTGCCTCAATAGGGTGTAGAATTTCTACAAAATAAAGTGGGCCTGTGTATCTGAAGGAGCAGTAGACTTCCTGGAGATTTTAGTAGGATAATAAGTGAATAAGCCTCTATAGTTATCATCAATTTCAATTTAGCTCGCTTCAGATTTATGAAATGAAATGCCTTCAAATAATTTGACTTAACATGCTAAAGTAACAGTTAGAAATGAAATTTCAAAGCAGGAAACTTTTCCGTGTCTTTTATCACAAGTATTTAGCAATGTGAACCAAAAGACATACAGTCACTATATCTATTCTGTTTGAATGACAGCAAACTAAGAAGATTAGATGTATAATTCAGGCATACAAATGGCATATAAAATCACCTCCCCTGGTGTATTTCCTCCTGTGGCGTGGAGACAGCAAAGTTATACAAAGCAGACATAACTGAAAGTTATACCTGATTTGGAAACATATACTTCCTGATACTAATTTAAAACAAACAACAAAGGTGTTAATAAAGCAGGATTTAATGCTGAATGCATCAAATTTCGGTAGAACTGCTCGTTACCTGATTACTTCATATACAAGGATATACATTTACACCATTAGAATTAGATTGGGAGATATAAGACCGATCAGCAAATAAACTGCATTGAATAATTCATGCATGCCGACGCACACCTGATATCTATGGTCGGCCTGCAAAATTTGGGCTACCGATATCCATGCTGAAAATTCCATACTTGTACCAAAAATACAGTGTGGAATCAAGCTGTAAATCAAAAATAAAAAAAAATATTTCTCAGGTCATGTTCGAATAGATAAGGAGAAGGAGGTATGAGAAATTAAAATTAAGATAAAATGCATTATGCTTAAATTACACCACTTGGATAAACAATTAGTCATCAGAGGAAGAGGTTAACTATATCATGAAGAATGAACTGAGTAATATTAATAGTAATAGTTATAATAATAATGCTGAAACGATTTAAGATACTGCTAATGATAAAAGATGGTTTTAAATGAATCAAAACTAATATTAATAATAATAATAATAGGTAGAATAAAGTGTTAACAATAATAATAGCAGTTAATAAGTAAAACTTATTACAATGGTAGATTCATTGTGACGAATACTTTCTTTTGTAAACAGAGATTATTGTTATTATATTATTTATTTGAACGCATAAAACCTTGGTACAATATGGCACCAAGAAGGATGCGCCACACAATAATAATAAAACAACATAGATTAAAAGAAAAGAAAGAAAGAAAAGAAAGAAATATATAGGTAGAGAACGGATAAAAAACTTCATCTTAAAGGAAGACAGTCATGCTTAACAAGTTCAAACAGTATTCGTTAACTATCATCGGGAAGGGAAGAAAGAAGGAAATTGCAACACATTCGCCATTGATTACGATTCTTGGCCATATCCGATAATGTTTCGAGCCATCGATTTGAGCTATCTCTCGGACCCCAACCAGGGAGTCGTGACACACCAACCGATGCTAATCTAGCACAAAAATCCCTCATCCCACGACGCCACGTCATGGACTGACCACCTCTCCACCTTTTCCATCCCGTCCCAGGATTAGCGGACAGAGACCTGTACGGAAGCCTATGGGATGACATTCGAAGCACATGTCCAAGCCACCGGAGCCGGTGTTTCCAGATGACGACACTCAATCAATGGTGATTTCCACTGTGTTCAAACACACGCCGCCTCCGAATCTCAGAATTACTCACGCGATGATGCCATCGAACGCAAGCAATCCTGTGGAGACAGCGATGATCGAACATGCAGAGTCGCCGAACATCCCCAGCCTACTCGGAGAGGCCAGGTTTCACAGGCGTAGAGCAAGACAGCCCGCACCGAAGCATTGTATACCCAACCTTTGACAGCCAGGCTAACGTCGCGACGGCGCCAGAGGTGGCTCAACTTGATGTATGCCATCCTAGTCTTCATTATACGGTTGGAAATCTCATCCGTCATCCCTCCACCAGCACTCAAACAACTACCCAGATACACAAACTTATCAACATTTTCAAGCAGTTCACCTGTAACAATGAGTGCAGGTACAGTCTCCTGCCAAACTTGTAACAGTACTTTGCACTTAGACAGCGTAAAGTACATACCATACTTACAGACACTGATCGCCAACTGATTAAGTGTGATTTTGGCAGCCTGCATGCTATCACAAAGTAAGACGATATCGTCTGCATACTCGAGGCCGAAAAGTCTATCTCCAGGTAGCAGATCTACACCACCTTCACGCACATCCTTCAGAGATGACTCCAGAATGTCATCGATGACAAACTTAAAGAGAAATCGAGAGAGTGTGCAACTCTGTTTAACCCCACTGTTGGTTGGGAACAATGATGATAGTTGGTTGTATGACTCTACCCGAAAAGTTTCTGTATAGGGCTTTCAAGATGTTAACAAATTTCTCAGGTACACCTCTCTCTAACAGACAGTTCCAGAGCACAGTTTGTAAACAGAGAACTGGTTTACAGACTTTAAGTGCACAAGCCTTGGCAACTGTCGGCATCTTCCTGTTTGTCTTCTGATAACAGTGAATGACCTGATAGCGTCAGTATCATGTCCGCAGTCCACAAGATGCTTTGTTATTAACTTCACCAGTTTTCAACCACTTTGGCAAATGCTCCATCATGCGAGTAAACAATCACTTTTCTGTACAACCAATTTATTTGCTTCTACAAAGATATCCCATTCAAATGAAAATGTGGTGAGCGTGTTGTGGTGCTCTTTTTGATCAAACTTACCTACACGTATATCCTAGTACTTCTTCGCTTTTATTATGGTGTCTTAACGTTGTGACTCCTCAACATCCACAACGTAAATCGAAATGCACTTGAGAAGGAGTACGAACGTGTATTAACTCAGTAATCGAAATTCAAAAGTCGAGCGAGCACAAAAGTATAAATTGTAACACGCAATATTTAGTGATAAACAAATCGAAGTCTAATTACATAGTGAAAGTATACTACAAAGATGAGTAATAAAGTGGGTCACTGATATGAACCCACATGATGTGTGTGTTTTGTTTTTGACAGTCTGTTATATTTTGCTATGTGTATATGGATCGATATTCCATTATAACTGACATTATGCTTTTGTCTGTCCACTAACTAAATAAACAACGTATGACCTTATTGTCACATGACATTACAACCAATCATGGTAAGACCTTATCTTATTGGTTCATGTGTATTAGCCATTTTCATATATACTCCTACTTTATTATTCTTGTTCATTCTTGTGTTCCCACGTTTCGTACTCTCGTACCATTTCACTCACACACTTGTCTGGAAAATACAAGTATCATCGTAAACCTGGTGGTCTTCTGATTTCCCCCTTTTTGCGTCAGGACTATTAACTAATCAACGAGTACATAACATAATTGGCGAAGGGGAAAACTCTAATAACTCAATCAGCAGCAGTACATAACAGTCACTACAAGCGTAATTCACCATAAAACCAATCATTTTGGATGTTGTACAGTTTTTGATGAAATTTTTTTGTAGTCTCTTCTAAAAGTCCACAACACCCAAGCATAGTCCATGTTACACCCACTGCATGGATATTTTACAAGGAAAAAACCAGCTTTCAAACTTCAACCCTAAAAAGCCAAATGAAAACTCAAATCATTTCAAATAGATCTGCATTAAAAGACGAAAATGTCGAAAATCCTGAAAAAAGTTTTTTCTACTTTTTTACAAAATACATTAAGTAATTACAACATAAACATTTAATTTAGAGGTTATCCGACTATCAAATACCAAGCGCATAATGGCTGAACATGAAATGGTTTGCGGTTACCAAAAGTGTGCGCTGAAACAAAATAAATACGACACTTGAAGAGGATTTAAAAAAATTAGCCCCTTTGATAAATTTGAATAAGGCATTTAGAAGACAAATTTCTCGAGATGATGAACTGGACGAAGGTCGTTGTCTATTGTTTTCTGTACACATATTTTAGGATGTATGTGATTAATCCCTAAATTGCTTCTATCACCTTCAATGAACGACCTTTAATTACAGTAATGTGATAAAACAATTGTGAAACAGTCAATGATATTGATTTTGTGACCTGACAGTAATAAGTGCTTTACAATGTCTCATGATGGATTTCCATTCAGATTAATTGCATTAAGATTTTCTATATTTTGATTAACCATTTTGGAACATGTTATTTTTGACGACATTGGAACATTCTATTGGTTCTACCTATATAGGTGTCACCGCAACTGCAGGTGAATTTGTGGATACAGTTTGAAGTAGAGTCCACAGAATTTCTTCCTTTAATCATAGGAACAGGGATCGAAAATCTTCGGTAAATGAGAAAAAGAGATGTGGCGGCGTAGAATGTGTGTTTGATAGCTGACCGAAGTCTTTGAGCTGTCAACTGCATAATCTGGTCACCCTTGAATGGGGGGTTAATAAACATAGCTTTCTCTGGTAGAGAAGCTGTCTTTTCGAGATGTGGTCTTTCTTTACTGTGACAATTGATAAAGTTCTCCGGATACCCATTAGCTGATAAAACTGAATGTATATTTCAAAACTCATATATCAATGTGTCACTCCTACATATTTTTTGGGCCCTTGAAAACGAACATTTCACTAGGAAACATTTATACTGCATAGGAACAAAACTGGTTAAATGACCTATTTAAATATGATTGGTCATCAGTATGTAGGTTTGTTTTATAGAACTGAGTAATTGCCGTGTATTTTATTATTATGAACCATGTTATTTGTAAAGCGATTGTAAAGAAAATGCAAAATGAAGATATCATCTCATGAAATTTATCTTCTAAATGCCTTGTTAAAGTTGAAGATGAACCAAAATTTGTTTAAATTAAACAGAAATGTAAAACAGCATGTAAAGTACAGCTTTAGTATTTGAAGGCACACTACTAGATGTAACATCGCCTTAAGAGTATGTAGATCTGGCTACACAGCATTACAATCTGACATGATTATTTGCACATTAGCTGAAACACGCATGGTGTATGCCAAGCGTAGTAATAAACATTATGGCGTGTGGTACTCATAAAATTTATCAGTAGTATATAACGAGACATCGATCGGTATGAAAATATTAAATAACGGAGAGATCGACTTGACGTCGAAGAGAACAAATGATTCAGCGTGTGCGGCAAAACATGGAAGACATGAATAGAAGACAATGGAATACAATATGAAGGAAGACCAGAAGTAGCACAACACGGAAGATCTGTACAAATAAATGGTGCGTCAGAGACAAGGTGTACATAGTCCCCATCCAGATAATAATAAGAAACAAAACACGTAGTTCAGTAAAGAGTTTCTTTCCGGTGAATCCATTCACTTAGCTGTACAATCGGAATTATATGTAATCATATTTGTGTGTGTACATTAGGTTTGTTAGACGAGAATAAAAATTACCCAGGGTTGTTGTTCACGTCATCAAAATCCTTCAGAAAATGTGACCAATAATCAAATTGCAACTGGGTTATGTGTGTGAAGACTAGTAGGTACTGGCAAGGGCTAAGTAATATAAAAGATACCAAGAAAAAATAGGATCTTAATGAAACAGCATGGAGACAAGTGTTCAAAGCAAATTACGCAATATATAGAAAGATTTAGATATGATAGAGAAGATTTGTAGCACTGGTGGATGATTTTGATGTGGTTGTATTCTGCAAGCTGGATATTCAATTTGCGAAGCTTTCATCACCCTACTAGGTGACATCTTCAGCGAATACTT